GACATCTATACGCAAGACTATAGCGGATATTTTAAAGACATTAAAGATTATATATATCTAAACGGTAAAAAATACCGTCCCCAAGATATATCACCTATCAATATTTTTAGCTTTGTTACACTCAAGAATGAAATTCTTAATTTTCTAGGATGGCCCTACTACATCTTAGAAAAACTGACTATTTTATACGCAATGTTTAACTTTATTGGATTTCTTTTTTCACTCTTAAAAGGAATCTATAACACATGTTCTATACACACACAAGTCAATAGACAAGCAAGTGTAGCACGCATACTATTTGCAGGATTTTTTGGAATATTTTCTACATCTATAAACAAAATTCTTTTAGACGCACAAATAAAAGAATATAACACAAAAATAGCAACGAGACAGAACACATACGACGAAGAACATAACAATGCAGACACAACACCAACAGCACCACAGTTACCACCCCTACCACATAACCATCCATTATCCCTAGTCCCACGTAATTTTCGAAATTTAGCCATAACACATAATAATTTTAGACCAACCATATCACAAAGTCCCATCCAACATATAATGCCACACCACTCCGAAGATGAAAATACTTATGAACAAATTATAGAACAACCCCATACCACCGCTTTTCAGTCTCAAAATAATAATTTTTTTAGCCCACGATGAGCCGACAACTTGGATCCCTACACCGATCAAATTCCCACCCAACCAACCTCACCACTCCAATCCCAATAATACCACTTTTTGCTTTTCCGCCACCCGATTTCCCATCCAGTAATGTAACATCCGGCATGAATTCCGATACTAATTCACACATCTCAGTTTTATGCTCCATCTCACAACTCAATAACCCGAATATTGAAACCCCCGATGAATTTGCCGACTCTGAACCATCTCCATCAAATAATTTTCACACCAATCCCTTAAATTTTTCCCAACCCCCTTTTCAACCCATACTACCAAATAACCCTGACCCAACCAATTCTACACCCTCTTATGCTTCCCAAGTCACTCCAACCTACTCCTCACTTCACTCAGACCAATCATCTCATTCTTTAGACACCCCCCGAATCTCCCCAGAACTAGATAATTTCATTACCTTACAACAACAATCCTATCACCTTGACACCCCAACCATAAACCAAATCTCATCCACAATAGATTCATCTAACCCTCCTACCCCTACACCCTCTTCAATTTATACTGAATCATTAGCACCATCATCCACAACTACTGAATCTTCACTCAGCACTAATAGAGCTTACCGCACTTTTAAAAGGAAGTTCCCCAACCATCCTTTCCCAGCGAAACCAGGAACAGCCCGTGAATATATCAACCATCCACAACACACTAACACAAAAGAATTTTTAGCTATCACCTTACCCTCATTTCCACAATACACCTTAAACACCCCTCATGACACTAACGAGACACGTAACTTTGTAGACGAATACGTTTTAATGCCTACCCTTCCTTGGACCTCATATTATCATTTTACAAATCCCCTTTGCTTACCTTTATCTAACACTCATATCGATATAGAACGAAATAAGGACATGCTATATCGACTCACTACAACACTAACACCTAGACAATTTACTTACATTGGATATAAAAAATCACTAAAAAGACACACTGCACCCCGAGCTAATGAATATACACTAGAATATTACGATCATAACATCATCAGAACTAACCAAGATCAATTCTTAGACGACGATCGCTTCGCTAACCCACAAATCACCGAGAAATTTTTCATTAAAACACCATATGTATTTACACTAAATATCTTCGATCGCAAGTTTGACCACATTATTTCAGAAGCACTAACAGACACGCTAGCCTACGAAAGTTTTAAAGAACGCTTCCAAATATTTTCACTAACCTTTCATTTCCTTGCACCACATGAAAGAGATTTGCACTGCTCACACGATATTATGTTGCGCACTAAACAAACACACACATATACTTATTATCGTTTCATCCAAAATCACTTTGACCTACACACTCCCTCCAGACAACCACACCATCGTTTTCAATTCATCAATTCCAAATACACCTCACCATTCTTTCTTAACTTCACATATTGCATTAAAGATACTAACCTTCATGGTATTCTTCGAAATTATGATCCCATAACCCAAATGTATATCTTTTGTCCCATCACCAAGACCTTCAACGCAGAAGAATCCCGACCCTTCCTCATCCCACACGAGTTTGTACAACCTATAGAAATCCCCATTTTAGAATTCATCCATAACACTAAATTCAACCACAAATTATATAATCTAATCCAAAACACACCTTATGAATTTGCAGTTGGCACTGAAGAACTAACCACCATTAAGGCACTTCAATTGCTTTGGCCACTGCTTCAAATTAAAAATATCATCCGCATCTTAGCCAAACTACTAACAACTTCAGATCTCATCCACGACATTTTCCCCCACGGTTTCTTCCCCGACGACTAACAGGTAAGTATGAATTATACATATTACTAACTAATTTAAATATTAGAAACTCACCATTCTTTATCCATGTTTTCTTTAGAATTTTAGCCTTCATCCTAGATCATCTGAAAAATTCACAAAAGAAAAATAAAAAATAGCAAACTTCTTCAAAACTGTTTAAAACCCTATTAAATTTTTGCACCAACAATTAAATAAATATAATACCAATGCAGTAATTTAATTTATAAATTTTGCCCCCACAAGCAGTAAATCTAATAATGATGAAAATTTGTAACTTAATTTTCCCCAACACCTAGCAGTAAAATTAAAATTCTATGTAGTAAATTAATAAGAAGCAAATGCAGTACTAACCTTTTGATATTTTCATTCACTCGCACAAGAATTCTATCCAAACTCGCACAGCTCGCCCACGAAGAATTGTTTAAATAATGAATTTCAGTTTCAAGCTTTCACACTCAACAACTCTAACACAAGATAACACGTTTCAAACTTTCCTTTAACCCGGTTGGAAAGGAATTATATACTAAACAAAACTAACCAATGCAGCTTACTAAACACCACAACACATAGCATAACAGCATGACTAAGAAAAGGAAACCAACGGTACCCAAACCGGATTAACCCAGTTTAAAACTGGATAATTTATTCTTTTTAAGACTATTATAAAGTCTAAGAAAGAAATAATAAAACACAAAAAAGTCGAAAGACAAAACCATACCACAAACAATTTGATTTTTGAAAAAAGGACACAACCAACAAAACATAAGAAAAACCACAACAAACCCAACATAAAACGTTGTCACATAACAGGACCTCTCACAAAAACCGCATGCAATCATACTCCCACTCCTGGCCTAACCCACCAGGAAGGACGTCCTGAGCATGCTCTATAGCCGGCCTAACCCACCGTGCTACATCCACGCTTTGTGACCACACTCCTATTTTTAATAAGAGCTACTTAAGGGTGAGTAACTCTTCAAAATAACTGAACTAAAACAAAAAGCTTTTGTGAAAACAACTAACTAAAATCATAATTAAAAAATATTAAACTAATAAAAGTTTTATAAAATGTAAATTACATTATGCAATACATAGATCAGAATACAACACCAAGGACGAACATCCAAAGACAAAACGACCCTACTACACTCGAGAAAGAATGGCCAACTACAATCAATATGCCGCCCACAATCACAACTCAAAGGATTTAGAGTACGACTTGACTTCGCAGAAAAGGACTTCATTGAACAAGACCAATGACCACCTCGATGTTCAAGTATACGTACAGATCCGAGTAACCAGGCATCCCCTCCACGCACAATCTCCACGCCATTCCCAGACAAGCTCAAACACAAAGAAGTTCTCACCAATGAAACAGAAAAACCTGACATAGCCAACCATTCTGAAATCAGATTTGAGTTTGTTGCGAAAACCCAGTCGTTGTCTTGAGAAGACACAACGATTGAATCTGGGACTTCTCTAATAAGAAAACCCAGAAGAAATAAGATGTTCGCCAAATACCAACGTCCATCATCCATCTTTTGAATTGCAGAAAGACTATTCTAAAAAACTCTGTAAAACCCGGATGGGTGGAACCTGATCTAAACTACATTTTATGATTGGATAAATTAGATATTTTACCAATGTAAAGTATTTAATATTAACCAATCATGATCCATCTGACTAACAATCCACTTATTTGTAAGTGCTGAAATTACTTGTAATTTCAGCACCAGAGAGATTTGAATTTAACTTAGAAATTAGTTGAACTCTCCCGAGTACTTCAGCAGCCGCAATAAACCAGTATACCCTAGATCTATTGAGCCTAGCAGAGACTAGTTAAACAACCTGAGACTAGATAGTATAAGAGTAAGATTAGGATCGGTATTAGACTAAGAAGTTGCACGAATCTATCCGGCCGAAAATAAGACGGTGTACCCTATCCGAAATTACTCTATGAGTTATACCCATCGGTCATAACTCAGTTTGGTAAGGTAGGCATGTTTAGATTTTTGTCCGCTGTTTTTGAGAACTCGCTTGTAAAATTAATAAGAATCAGAAGAAATAGCATCATCTAAGCGAGAAAAAAAAGAACATTTCTGAAACATGATTTTTTGGATTTCACTTCCGAATTTGTTAATGGCATTCGAACCGATCCAAAATATGCTCGTAGAAAGCTGACAATAATTCTTAATGATTATCAATAAAAACGCATTTGCACTCAAACCAATATTAGATAAACCGGCTCTTTTCCAGTTTCCCACCCTCCCGTTAAATTTCAAAATAAAGTTGTTCAAAAATTGTTCAAACGGCGTTTTGCATGAAAGAAATGTTGTGAAAATTTGTTCACCTGTTCACGCTGACACGTTTTAATGCAGTTTATAACATGAAAAGTCATTTTAAATAAATTCTCATATATTGAATTTCTGAAAAAATCAAAGGAGGGGGGGGGGATGGAGAAGGGCCTATAAACCGAATTTGCTCCAACCAACTTCTGATGATTCCGCAGTTTTTTTTGTTTTTCAGAGTCAGAACTCGTGGCACAGACTGGACTGTCTGTTTGAGGTGACAGAGTGGGTGTTGCAGACTCCCCTCCGACTGCCCCGCTTCTTCCTCCAGTGTCTCAGGAGCACATCAGTCCAACTCATCACATCCATCACTCAGTCACTCTCAGGTGAGGACAAGTCTGAACGCGGAGAGAATGATTGAAATTATATAACTGTGATTATTTAAGCTATTTGTTTTTGTTCCGACCACTTGAAAAAATGGGGGGCAACTTTGTATTCGGGTGTGTTTTAATTTTTTTTTTTCAATTGCTTAATGAAAGCCGTGAAAACTTAGTTTTACTCGATTAAGTTACTTAACGGTTTTTTTATTGTTTTTAGTCAGTTTTCTATAAAAACTGTTGTCCAATTTGCCTATTTTACTATAACTGTCGAAGTTGTAATTTGTCGTTCAGATCACAACACGTAGAAAAAAAACTATACTATATGAAAATCCTTTTTTAAAAAATTTTTAGGACACTGAATTTGCACAGTAACCGGCTATCCTTGTTGTTCCGACCATTTGAAAAATGGGGAGGAACTACGTATTCGGGTGTGTTTTAGCTTTTATTTTCCACGCAAAATTAGGTACCACCAATGATTATCGGACTAGGTTAAGTGATATATCATATTAAAGCCCTTTCAGTCGTAATTCGAACCACAATAAAAATATTTCCAAAAATTTTTTCCCAGTGTCGAGAAAAACCGGTTTGAAATTTGTGATTTTTCGTCTTCATTCGAGCGAATACAGCAAGCGAGCAGGCTTCCAACCGCTGAATTGGGCCTAATTTAAGAACTTAAAAGTTTATTTTAAGCAAGTAAAACTAGTTTTTGGAGTTGCTTTGCTTCATTTTGAGAACCAAAAAATTCAAAAATTTTCTGCATAAAATTTGAACATGAAGTTCATTTTTTAAAGTTTTCTAGTCATTTTTCTGCAAACGTTTTGTCTAATTTTCCTATATTACTATATCTGTCTAATATGCCTAAATTATTTTTTAACGTCAGATCCTTTTATCACACCAAGCAGAAAAAACTACACTAATTTGGAAAAATAAACTTTCTAAGCCGTTGTTTTCTAAAGAACACCTTCGCCTGTCGGAATAACTCCGCATGTTGGAATCGTCAAGATCCGACTGACGGTCCAAAGCCTGGATAAAGGAGGATGGTTGGAGAGTGGCGACCTCCGTAAAACATAGCCAAGAAACCACAAATGCAAAGGCTCGCAAACCACAACCCACATAATGTTACGCCCCTCGCGGGAACTGGGGCCTCCGTGAGTGCCGTTATGGAGGTAAACAGCGAAACCGGCACAAAAGCACCGAACCATTCCAAAAATTCTACATATCTGCACGTGGAACACCCTCACCCTCCTCCCCCCAGAAGCACCTGACCTCCTGGACAAGTCACTGTCGAATCATCGGATAGACGTGGCATGCCTACAGGAAATAAGAATTCAAGGATAATCTTATGTGGAAACCAAAGGGTACCAGATTCTCATAAGTGGATATCAAGAAAACAAGGTTATCCATGGAGTCAGAAGTGCAATATCGAAAAGGATAAACAGTTGTTCAGTTATGAAAAGCTGTGAGTGCAAGAGTCTGCATGCTCAGACCAGAAGCTAATCCCACGCCTGTCACCGTAATTTCATGCTACGTTCCTACAGAAGAGGCCGATCCAGCGACGAAAGACGACTTCTACCAAGGTCTTCAAGCGACGACAGTCGACGACACTCCAAAGTGAGACCTACCTACTACTGCTTGGCGGAGACATGAAAGCAAAGCTCGGCCCAGCGCTTAAAGCCGAAAGCACCTACATCGGTGGGTCGGTCAAGCCATCCCAGTGGAACGATAATGGCGACCGCTTGGCCCTGTTCTCGGCATCAAATGACCTATGTGTCGCAAATACCATGTTCAAGAAAAAGATTCACCAACTTCCTACATGGTGCTCTAGAGACAGGAAATTGACTTCCTATTAATTAGAAGAAGATAAGCGACGCCCGCGTAAGGAAAGAAGAGCTTCTCCTCGACAGCGACGACCGCATGCTTACGTGAGCCAATCGCCGGATATCGCTTCTCTGCATAGGGTTCAAGGTCCTGAAAACAATCCTGCTGGCACGACTTAACGAAGCATACGAGACCCACGCCCGAGCAAAAAGAGACAATCAGGCGGGATTTAAGAAAAAGAGAGGCTGTCGCGATCAAGTTTTCACGCTCCAACAGATCCTGAAGTAGCGAAATGAGTACACCAGATCATCGGTCATGGTATTTATCGACTTGAAGCTGCCTTCGACAGCGTCAAGAGACGCCATCTGGCAGCTTTTCGAGAATCAAGGTCTACCATGCAAACTACTCAACATCATAAAAATATGTACACGGACACCACCAGCTGCTTGAGAAAGAACGGCATGCTTTCTGATCTCTTCCCCATTTTTATTCAATGTTCTTATGACTGGATGCTGAAATGTGCAACAGACGGTACAAACAATGGAATCACGCTAGAAACAGTCATCCCCGATCTGGATTATCCAGATGACATCTGCTTACAAGAGGACAACACCGATGATGCCCAATCCCTACTAAACAGTAGTGGCCGCTGCAAAAGAAGTGGGCCTCATTCTCAATGTCAGCAAGATCAAGTGCATGTTTGCCCGAACTGACCCATATGTGCTGTTCCTCGAAAGCACTCCGCTCGAAAATTTCACCGAGTTCGTCTACCTCGGAAGTGGGATATCGTACGACGGCAACAGCAACATAAGTACAAAACAGGATCGCACGCGCCACTGTCAATAGATCTAGACTAGCAAAATTGTAGAAAAACAAGGGAACGACGAGAAACACGAAGAACAAAGTATACAAAGCATGCTTAAAGAGTGCTTTGTTATATGCTGCGGAAACGGACTGTCAAACAGTTTTACCTCGCAAGACTTGGTTCATGGGAAACAAGGTGCGCAAGACGCTACCCCGGAGCACGCCCTGATCAAGATACCGCCACAATCCGCGCAGTAGCAACCCTTGGAATGTCCCTGGACTGTCACCTGCGAAATATGCGACTAAATGGCGTGGTCATGTACTTCGAATGGGGGAAGAAGCAGTAACTCGAGAAGCATTAATGTTTGAAAAAGCTCAGTCATGGAAACGCCCACTGGGTGGCCTCAGAACAACTTGGAGAAAGAACGTCGCGGAAGACGTTGAACCGATCCTCAGGCCTCCGAGATTGAGGCACGATATTTGGAAGAAGTCGCGGAAAGATAAATTCTACGAAGTCGCCCAGGACAGGCTGAGGTGGAGAGCGGTGGTCTGAGACGCTGCAATCAGTGGCTAGCTGATGGGCAGGCATGCCTTATGCTAACGAATGAAAGACTATGCAAGTAATGTCGGAACATTCGGTGCTACTTGCACAGTAACCGGATAACCTTGTTTTCTTGTTTTGTTTTCCACGCAAAATCAGCTACCAGAAATAATCATTAGAAAGTGTCAATTGATATATGATATTAAAGCCCTTTCAGTCGTAATTTGAACGACATTGAAAAATTTCCAAAAATTGGATCAGGTTCGAGTAAAACTAGTTTGAAATTTAGTCTAATTGCGAGCGAATAAACTGAGTGAGCAAGCTTATAATAGCTTATTTCCTAATTTAAACCATGCAAACTTAATTTTATTTGAATGAAATTAGTTTTTGGAGTTTGTTTGCACCATTAATTAATGACCATTGCTTCAGAAAGTTTTTTTCTAACACTTGAGCGTTAGTTTTGCCTATCACCTTCTCCGGATCAAAAAAGCACCAACTTAAGCGTTTACTTGTCGTTCTCTGTCTGCGGTAAAAAACACCATTTTGCAACTTTAATCTGAAATTATAAATAGGAATTTAGTTTTGAATTTAAATTCTGTAACTCAATTTTTTGATCTCGATATCTTTTATTGTTTATTCAGGAGAGGCGACGACCGTGTTCGCTGGCGACAATTTGACCTTCAAGACTGAGGGGGTGGTGTCGCAGGTGATGTCTAGAGATAAAGACAACGGGGACAACAGGAAGAGGGCAACACAATTGACTGTGAAGAGATGCAAAGTCATCTACCAAGTCAAGTGAGACGCTTCGCCTCAATAATTTTTAATGACACTTGAAATGATCGGGTACTATTTTTTCTTTTTTGGTTCAAAAATATATATATTTTTTTGCTTCACAGCTTTTAATTGAAATTCTGTCGACTTCATTAACAGTCAGTTGCTTTTTTCAACTGCTATAGCGGATGTATTATAATCAGGTACTAGACCATTTTTCCTGTAAGCATCTTTAGCCTGTTAGCGCACCTCTCGAGGTGCTTACGAGTGTGCGCTGATATGTTCAATTGCTCGAAGTTTTGATTTTTATTTTCTCGATGCAACTTTGCTTAGGAAAGCAAAACTATCAGGTCTCGGGGATTTAGAAGTTCGAGTCGTAATTGTTGTTTCAATGTTGGGTTGCAGCTGGACTTAAGCTTTCTCGAAATTTTTTCCTCAAAATCAATTTTATTCGAGTCTCAAAATGATTTTCATTCGAGACTCTAGAATCCCTTCTCTCCGCGTCATCTTGACAATTTTTTTCAATCAAAGCTAGTCTGAGCAAAAGTTCCCTTAGAGATGAACCTCTGATCGCCATTCCTCCACGTGTCCAGGAAAGCAATAAGCTTAGTAGAAAAGTCGAATTCACTGACGCAGTTCCTAGATTGCGAGTTGTCCATGTGTTGTGGCATAATTATAATAAACAGAGATTTTTTTGTATTGCATTGTGACATTATACTCAGAAAAATGATCTTAGAGCTTTGCCGATACGCCCATTGTAGAACGCCTTGTTTCTCGCTTCTTCACTTTTGAACGAGGTCAGGAACAATGATTGCCGACTTGGACGCAGCTCGAGCGGATTTTTCTTGTCATGAGTCCGTATCAGAGAGTCGTATAGTGACTCATAGCACTGCTAGAATTAGGACGATTCAAAGAAAATCTGCGCAAGAGTTGCTCTTCTACAAAGATATATTTTTTCTTGCATAATTTGAATTGAACGCAGACGATGATTTAAGTCAATAGTAAAAAGTTCGCTACTCCTGGTTATCTTCAGAAGGGATACAACATTAAAATTGAAATTACCTGCGTGGGTGAAATTACTTGATCCTGGGTCGTAATGTGTCCAGTGTAATGGGCAATCCATTATAGTATCTATATTTAAATGACTCAACAGTAAATGGGTTAGTCATTTAAGATAAAAATCATTATCGAAAAAAAAATGTTTCTGTGACCTATTGTGAACAGTAATGATTGTGGCATTAAGTTGTATAAGCTGTTCCGGGAGTTGACACATGAAATTATTGTCGTAACTTAAAGGGCTCTCAGTATCTCAAATTTATGCAAATTGTTTATTAGCTTCTTTAATTAGCTTCTAATGTTTGCAATCGAAGTAATTTTCCCATTTTTACATTGAGTTCCTTGGGGGGGGGGGGGGGGTCCAATGTTCCCCAATTGATTGTTTGTTCAAAGTTTTTTGAATTCGTTTTCAAAAGTCAAAAATTCTTAATCTAAAATCAAAAATATGGATATGTATTTGGAAAAACAAAAAAAAGCTATTATAGTTGGTTGAGCATCATTTGTTTTCAGATTATTGCAGGCAGCCAGTAGTCGCAGTGTGGCGGTGTCCAAAATTGGCTTCTGGAGTAGTGTTGGTGACTCACTCATGGCTCCCAGTGACATCACAGACACTGTGCGGGTGGACAGGAAGGGATACTTCCTCAGTACTGTTCTCATCAAACCACCTCTACCTGGAAAGTATCAGGTTCGTTGTTTCATTTAATGTTTCTTCTGGAATATATTGGTAACTATCCTTATTAGGAACCTTGTGTTGGTTCTTGCCTGAAGAACATTATTTGGACGAAGAAACCAACACTAAATTACAGATATTAGAATAGTTTCCCGATAGATAAAGAACTGAGTTGTAATTTATCACGGCAGAAAACAGAACGTGTGAGGATGAATAAGAATTGGAAAAAATGGTATTCATTTTGGCCTATAACTTCGCAATTCATTTAGTTTTGCTCTATTTACTCACCACAAGGTCCGATGACTGAAATGTTTTGTTCGTTCTTCTCGGATGTGGATGAATTTAAGGCCATCCAAAGCTGATGATGTTCACAGGAAAGTGCGATGGAACAGCTCATAGCTGGGACCTTACAGATAGGGAAGCGTTAAGCTTTTATAAATCATCGACCTTGCTATTATCCCCATCAACGACCATGAGAAGTGAAATGCAGCAAAAAAGTCACTCTAATTTTTATTTGATGTTGTAATACTTTGATTAACTAAAAATTTCTTACTTGATGGACCCGAACGAATGACTGGACTTACCTCATACAGCTTTAAGCCTGAGTTGAACTCCTAACACACTAATTTTCACATGCTTCGAATTGTCGGTCACATTCATTGCTGAAGTAGCATCAGTCAAGTTACTCAGTTACCCCACAAGCGTTCTCTTATTTCGAGTTCTCTCTCTTTAAGCCTCTGTTTAAAATTATAAAATGCCTTCAAACACTCCACATCATAAGGACATTCGAAAGAATAAAGCAATTTTTAAAACTGAACTACTCGCATTAAATTAATCTAAATTTTTAGCCCAGCGAATAATCCACGCGCCGCACACGGCATAGGTCCCTGTCAGAATCCGAAGAATGATGGTTTTGATTTTTTCTTAAAGTCACCGAGTCTCAGGAACCTTGGTTTTCTTTTGCTAAAATTCCTTAAAGTATTTGCACCAGCGAACGTAGTGTCTTAGTATGACTCTACTTTTTTCAACCTAAGTCGCTAATAAAAGTGCCCGTTTGGTAGCTTTTTTTGCTTTAGTAGCATTCTGTAGCATTTTAAATTTCGTAGCAGGGGCGGGTCTAGGATTTTCTCGAGGGGGGAGGGCGGGTTTTTATGAATTTTCGAAACTTTAGTCGTCCTTTTTTTTAGGTCGACCAAAGCAGTAAAAAGTCCCTGTTTTGGCCAAAATTTCAGCGCCGCAAGCAAAATTTTGAAAAAACAGGCCAAAAAGGCGTTTTTAGGCACTTTTTGGAAAACTTTTACTAAAAAATCGCATTTTTTGGCGCGCGCTCCCATCTCAAAATTAGTATATATTGGCTCCCATCTCAAAATAGTACAAAGGGGGGACCCTTTGGGTCGGCAGGGGGTCGAATCCCTGAGGGGGGGGGCGTCACCTCCTCCCCTAAATCCACCTCTGTTTCACAGTATCTGTTCTCTGCTGTATATGTGGCGAGTGTTTGCTGATTGTTGAGCATCCGAGCCTGAGAAAAGAATTTATTCTTATCAACAAAAATTAAAACCGGTAATAACACCAGGATAATTATGACATTTATCAGAACAAGTACTCGAAAAGAAATGCAATGAACGAAGTAAATTATTGTGGGAGTTAATGTTGGCCCTATCCGATTTAGGAAGTTAGTTTTGTAGAACTGAAGAGTTCTACTTTGGTGCTAATTGCTTTTCGACGTTACTTTTTAACCTTTTTATGACCTATTATGTTTTAGGTACAGCTAACTCTGAAGTTAATGGAGGGTGATTCTGACATAGAGTGGAACTACAATCTAGTAGAGACTGTGCTCCTCAAGGCCATCGATAAGAATATCAGATGAAACCTTTCGAAGATGAGAGTTGAAATTGGACCAGAAGAGAACAGAAATCTGTAGGGTCAACAAGACTTGGAAATAGAGATAGAAAACAATCAAAATTAATGAAATATGAAGCTGTTTTCCCACAACATCGTCCCCAAAACATATTCAATGCAGAATTTAATTGCTTTTTTGAAGTATAGTTTGGTTCAGTTGTTATGAAATGAAATTTGTTTTAGCTAATGATTGTGTTAAAATATCTATCCAATTATTTTTTGTTTTTTTTGTCTGAGTCAAGAAGAGTTTTTACAAGAGCGTATCACAACTTTTGGATTTTTGGAACAACTGTGATCGAGTGATGAACACAAGTCTTTACACAAGCAAAGCTTGTCTGATAGTATGAACTCTTTTTTTCCAAACTAAGTCGCAAAGATTAGTGTTCATTTTGTGCACAAGCAAAGCTTGTGATTTTGAAAATGTTAATTTTGATCAATAACCAGCTTATAAGTACAGCCAATGCTAAGGATATTAACACAGACTATTATATTACTGGGCAGGGTCGGATGTTTTAATGAACTTTCTTTTTTATAATCTAGCTAAAATGCGTCCGCTCTATAAATTGAGACGTGCTAGTTGGTATTTTTTATTTTTAAAATTAACTGGCTATGCGTCATAATTGGCTTACGCCACTGAGCAATTATTTAGACTCATAATTAGAGTGCGTCGCTTAAAAATTTATGTAGACTCAAAGTTTTACTCAATCAGGTTTTCCCAGTAGCGTTATCGGTCATATTTTTGCTTGTGTATGCGACTTCGTGTATGCAACTTCGCTTCTGTGTCAAATATGTTCAGGCTCAGTTTTCGGGGTATCATGTTTGAATTTTTTAATAGTTTATTTAAGGGTCATTTGCGATATGGAAGGAAGCTTACACTTTTCCACAATGGAATAGCAAAAGCCGCAAAAAGAAATCAAAGTTTTTTCTTCTAAATTAGATTCTAATATCCAGCAGAAAAGCAATTCTGACTCTTTTTGTAGCTTTCTCAAATTATGTTACGTTAACCGAATCGTTTCAAGCAATATGTTGCTTGGAAAATCAACGAGGTTTTTCTCTGCTTTGAGTTAATTGACTCTTTTCCAAGTGTCTGATTAGCATGAAAGCATTGATAGATGGTTACAAAATTTTGCAAAAAGTGGGGGTTTAATACTCTAATAGAATGGATGGACTAAAATGGTTTTTGAAATATTTCAAGCTTTCTGGAACAGGAAATCTGTCCAGGCTTTTTGAAGGTTTTTCTTTGTTACAAGCGATTGCTTGTGCCAAATTACTAGCTCGTTTTTTTTCGAAGCGAAAAAGCATAAACTTAATAATTAAAGTTGAGCTCAGCAAAAGTTTTCATATCGAATATCTGTTTTACTGCTAATATGCTTTATCTGCACGTTTCATCAGATTTTTTGGTAAATTTTTTTTCCATCGAAAACAGAATTCGGATGTGATCATGCGCGTCATTATCCTTGCGATAAGCAAGGGTATAGCAACGGGGTACGAGACTTTATGTAGACTCAAAGTTTTACTCAATCAGGTTTTCCCAGTAGCGTTATCGGTCATATTTTTGCTTGTGTATGCGACTTCGTGTATGCAACTTCGCTTCTGTGTCAAATATGTTCAGGCTCAGTTTTCGGGGTATCATGTTTGAATTTTTTAATAGTTTATTTAAGGGTCATTTGCGATATGGAAGGAAGCTTACACTTTTCCACAATGGAATAGCAAAAGCCGCAAAAAGAAATCAAAGTTTTTTCTTCTAAATTAGATTCTAATATCCAGCAGAAAAGCAATTCTGACTCTTTTTGTAGCTTTCTCAAATTATGTTACGTTAACCGACTCGTTTCAAGCAATATGTTGCTTGGAAAATCAACGAGGTTTTTCTCTGCTTTGAGTTAATTGACTCTTTTCCAAGTGTCTGATTAGCATGAAAGCATTGATAGATGGTTACAAAATTTTGCAAAAAGCGGGGGTTTAATACTCTAATAGAATGGATGGACTAAAATGGTTTTTGAAATATTTCAAGCTTTCTGGAACAGGAAATCTGTCCAGGCTTTTTGAAGGTTTTTCTTTGTTACAAGCGATTGCTTGTGCCAAATTACTAGCTCGTTTTTTTTTCGAAGCGAAAAAGCATAAACTTAATAATTAAAGTTGAGCTCAGCAAAAGTTTTCATATCGAATATCTGTTTTACTGCTAATATGCTTTATCTGCACGTTTCATCAGATTTTTTGGTAAATTTTTTTTCCATCGAAAACAGAATTCGGATGTGATCATGCGCGTCATTATCCTTGCGATAAGCAAGGGTATAGCAACGGGGTACGAGACTTTTTTTCCACCTAAAGAACTTTGTTCACAAGCATCTTGTAAATTTGCGCATCTTGTGATTTCTAGCGGTAGAACATTGTCCTTTCAACACAATACACAGAGGGACAAACACCGCTCCAGCACAATTTTCCGTAAATTTAAGATGTTTATCAAGTGAAAATTTTCCTTTAGCTTAAGATGTTTGTCAAGCGTATTCATAAACAGAGCTGCAACCATAAGTAGCACGTTATTTTGCCTCAGTTTTTTAGAAACACGTTTAGTTTAATTTTTGTAAGATTTTTGAAATTTTCTTTCGTAAGATGCAACCATGGTTGAATACAAACAGTTCCGCGATATCTATTGCCACCAAATAGCTCATACTGTTAACAAATGTAAATCCGACAAATTTGAGAACTACACCGAATTTAATTCAATTTAAAAAAAAAGTTTGTACAGAAGTTCTGCCAGCAACAGAAGAGGCAGATTTGCAAGCAACATCCAAGCATTCCCATCACTTGCATTTGATTGTCCATCAATTTCTGAGAGAAAAGCCCTCGTCAAACTTTCAGTGATGGACACTATATCATCTTTTTTTATTAAAAAGTCCCATTAGGACAGCACAGAAGACCAATTCTTTTAAAGGTATATTAAAACCTATTTTAAACTAGAATACTCTAAACAAAAACTTAGCTTATGTCTTTTTTAGACAGAAGCTGAAAATACAATATACAAAAAAAACAAGATAATGTTGAAAAGTAATTTATCTTCAAAACATACCATCAAACGCCATTGGTATACCTATTAGAGTGATGTCATCGTTAAGATTTTGAAGCGTATCAAATCATCTTAAGTGAATCAATTGTCATTCAGAATGTTACTTGATCTAGCAATTTTTGAGGTTTCCTGAATGGACCTAAACGAATTCCCCAAAATTCGTCCTCAATTATTTATTGAAATCAATTCACGAACTGCTGATGCAATTAAATTGTAAAAAATAATAGGCCCTATACTGAAAACCTTACTGTGTGACTCACGTAGCCTACTAACTCTCCCATTTATCTCAACTTGATTTTATGAACGATGACACCACTCGTATGCAACTACTACTATCGAACTCGGACACAACAGCTGCAAAACTCCTCTCCAATCCGAACAACATCATTTGTGATCTATCATCTTCACACCGGGGAAGCAAAACGAAGCAGCGGATAGTGAAATTTGGAGAACAAATGAAGTTCAACAATGAACTTAATGAATGTCATCGTGAACTTTGATAAACAACCTTTAGTTTGTAAAAATGTGAGTCGCCAAATATCATTGTACGCAGTTCAACTGAAACACATAGCCCACCATAATGTCACCATACCAAATTATCTAAATGTAAACTGACCCTTATGTTAAAGCTGCCAATTCATAAAGACAAGTCTCCAACATGAAAAATTGAACTCAAGTTTTATGTCGTAACCGAAAGATGTCAATGACAATTAACCATGGAAAACATGTTCTTTTAAATGGAGATGAAACTTCGTATCAATCATTGTGATAACCTGCTACTAACTAGAGTGAATACAATTTCAATTAAAGTTTTCAAACTTCAATTCGGCCTTTTTCCTGAAGCCACAATTTTTGCTCTGGCCGGATCCTAAACCTTAAAAACCTTAACTAGTCTAGCCCATAACAATCTGATTACAAAAATTTTAAAACGAATGTTTTTTTTCACTGATGGTTTCATTGCGGGGGTTTAATAGTCTAATAGAATGGGTGAACTTAATGATTTTCGAAACACTTCAAGCTTTCTGGAACAGGAAATATGTCCAGGCTTTTTGAAGGTTTTTCTTTGTTACAAGCGATTGCTTGTGCCAAATTACCAGCTCGTTTTTTTTTTCGAAGCGAAAAAGCATAAACCTAATAATTAAAGTTGAGCTCAGTAAAAGTTTTCATATCGAATATCTGTTTTACTGCTAATATGCTTTATCTGCACATGTTTCATCAGATTTTTTGGTAAATTTTTTTTCCATCGAAAACAGAATTCGGATGTGATCATGCGCGTCATTATCCTTGCGATAAGCAAGGGTATAGCAACGGGGTACGAGACTTTTTTTCCACCTAAGGAACTTTGTTCACAAGCATCTTGTAAATTCGCGCATCTTGTGATTTCTAGCGGTAGAACATTGTCCTTTCAACACAATACACAGAGGGACAAACACCGCTCCAGCACAATTTTCCGTAAATTTAAGATGTTTATCAAGTGAAAATTTTCCTTTAGCTTAAGATGTTTGTCAAGCGTATTCATAAACAGAGCTGCAACCATAAGTAGCACGTTAATTTTCCTCAGTTTTTTTAGAAACACGTTTAGTTTAAATTTTGTAAGATTTTTGAAATTTTCTTTCGCAAGATGCAACCATGGTTGAATACAAATAGTTCCGCGATATCTATTGCCACCAAATAGCTCATACTGCTAACAAATGTAAATCCGACAAATTTGAGAACTACACCGAATTTAATTCAATTTAAAAAAAAGTTTGTACAGAAGCTCTGCCAGCAACAGAACAGGCAGATTTGCAAGCAACATCCAAGCATTCCCATCACTTGCATTTGGTTGTCCATCAATTTCTGAGAGAAAAGCCCTCGTCAAACTTTCAGTGATGGACACTATATCATCTTTTTTCTAGTAAAAAGTCCCATTAGGACAGCACAGAAGACCAATTCTTTTAAAGGTATATTAAAACCTATTTTAAACTAGAATACTCTAAGCAAACACTTAGCTTATGTCTTTTTTAGACAGAAGCTGAAAATACAATATACAAAAAAAACAAGATAATGTTGAAAAGTAATTTATCTTCAAAACATACCATCAAACGCCATTGGTATACCTATTAGAATGATGTCATCGTTAAGATTTTGAAGCGTATCAAATCATCTTAA